ATTGGGGTTTTTACTTCAAGATGTTTTCATCCAATTAATGACGAGACGTTTATACAAGTGGCAGGAACACCGGGGCACCGGAGAAAACCCATGGGCACTTGGGGGCACCACTTTACGCCCACACAGATGGAAACAGATGCCGTCTCCTGGCAAGCCACAGTATGGCAACTCGACGCCCAAGGGAAGGGCGTTTGAGTACACGCGTGTGATCCACCAACCCTTTGCCGACTCCACAGTGCTGGATTAGAGCCACGCGTAGTCACCACTGCCTGGCTACGAGACCCATAGATCACGCGATTACCCACTGACGTACGTACATACATAGAGACCCCGTAGTCCACACTATGCCAGTGACTTACACACAAGAGAACCACAGACTTGCATAAAGACCATAGGCCACGTCGTTACGGCACAAAGGTTAGTAGGCACAGACTTCCCTCGCACCATCGATTATCACGGTTAGCTATGTACAGTACATACCCATAGACCACACTATGCCGCTGATATACAGATGAGACCAGTGACTTAACTTAGAGACCCATAGACTTAGATAGAGACCCGCATACTTACACAGAGACCCATAGACGTCCACAGAGAAATAGACTTAACAGAGACCCATAGACTTACAGAGCCCTAAACACTACGCTGCTACGCGAGACATACATAGACCCACACTATGCCAGTGACTTACATAGAAACCCATGGACGTAGAGACACATAGGTCACGCTATTTCGGCACCAACGTACATAAAGACCAATATAATTAAGAGACCCATATACTTAAGGGACCTATATACTAACATAGAGACCTATATACTTACAGAGATACCAATAGACTTCCACAGAGAGCCATAGATTTACAGACACCCATAGACTTACATAAAGATCCACTGACTTACATAGATACCCATTTGACTTACAGTGAAGGAAAAAAGGATTTGATGCCCTGCTGATTTTGTACGTTTGCCCACTGACAAAGAAATGATCAGTCTATAATTTTAATGGTAGGTTTATTTGAACAGTGAGAGACAGAATAACAACAACAAAATCCAGAAAAACGCATGTCAGAAATGTTATAAATTGATTTGCATTTTAATGAGGGAAATAAGTATTTGACCCCCTCTCAATAAGAAACATTTCTGGCTCCCAGGTGTCTTTTATAAGGTAACGAGCTGAGATTAGGAGCACAATTTTAAAGGGAGTGCTCCTAATCTCATCTTGTTACCTCTATAAAAGACACCTGTCCACAGAAGCAATCAATCAATCAGATTCCAAACTCTCCACCATGGCCAAGAACAAAGAGCTCTCCAAGGATGTTAGGGACACGATTGTAGACCTACACAAGGCTGGAATGGGCTACAAGACCATTGCCAAGCAGCTTGGTGAGAAGGTGACAACAGTTGGTGCGATTATTCGCAAATGGAAGAAACACAAAAGAACTGTCAATCTCCCTCGGCCTGGGGCTCCATGCAAGATCTCACGCCGTGGAGTTGCAATGATCATGAGAACGGTGAGGAATCAGCCCAGAACTACACGGGAGGATCTTGTCAATGATCTCAAGGCAGCTGGGACAAGTCACCAAGAAAAAAATTGGTAACACACTACGCTGTGAAGGACTGAAATCCTGCAGCGCCCGCAAGGTCCCCCTGCTCAAGAAAGCACATATACATGCCCGTCTGAAGTTTGCCAATGAACATCTGAATGATTCAAAGGACAACTGGGTGTAAGTGTTGTGGTCAGATGAGACCAAAATGGAGCTCTATGGCATCAACTCAACTCGCCGTGTTTAGAGGAGGAGGAATGCTCCCTATGACCCCAAGAACACCATCCCCACCGTCAAACATGGAGGTGGAAACATTATTCTTTGGGGGTGTTTTTCTGCTAAAGGGACAGGACAACTTCACCGCATCAAAGGGACGATGGACGGGGCCATGTACCGTCAAATCTTGGGTGAGAACCTCCTTCCCTCAGCCATGGAATTGAAAATGGGTCGTGGATGGGTATTCCAGCATGACCCAAAACACACGGCCAAGGCAACAAAGGAGTGGCTCAAGAAGACGCACATTAAGGTCCTGGAGTGGCCTAGCCAGTCTCCAGACCTTAATCCCATAGAAAATCTGTGGAGGGAGCTGAAGGTTCGAGTTGCCAAACGTCAGCCTCGAAAGCTTAATGACTTGGAGAAGATCTACAAAGAGGAGTGGGACAAAATCCCTCCTGAGATGTGTGCAAACCTGGTGGCCAACTACAAGAATCGTCTGTTTTGTAGAGGGGTCACTATACTTATTTCCCTCATTAAAATGCAAATCAATTTATAACATTTTTGACATGCGTTCTTCTTGATTTTGTTGTTGTTATTCTGTCTCTCACTGTTCAAATAAATCTACCATTAAAATTATAGACTGATCATTTCTTTGTCAGTGGGCAAACGTACAAAATCAGCAGGGGATCAAATACTTTTTTTCCCTCACAGTACATAGAGACCCATGGACCATGCCACGCCACTGCCATGCGCACACAGAGTGGTGAGCATTGCGGATTGGTCAGAGTGCGGGTCTCCACAGCCACTCTGCTCCACGAAGCCCGTGGGCCGATAGACAAACAACGTCAAAACGAGAAACTAAAATATTTTTACTCAAAGATCCTCGCCCGTTTCACGTCTTATTGGCCACAGTTCAGAACAGCGTAACGATAAAAACAAATGTACAGTGGACGACTTTGTCGTAGTGCGTTAAAGTTGACCCCAGGGTGCTCTTTGGAGGCCTCCAACGTAAACTCGTTTCTTTAGAACCGCTTTTTGTGCGAGTCTTCGTTTGCGAACCGTGCTCACCTCCTGATGAGCATGGTTGGCTACGTACGGTGCGAAAGAAGTTCAACGTATGGTACCACATGCACGTGCATCTTGGGTTCGCGGTGCAATGAGAGCCACTGTGCCACGGTCCGTCTGCTAAAAAGTTTTAAAAGACGAAGATTTTAAAGACGTTATTTTAAAAGGCGTTTTAGCGGTCGCAGCGGTTACTCGGTGTCACGCTGTAGCTCAGAGCGGCCAGAGGATGGCACCACAATGATCAATGCGGATTTCGTGATGGACTGGACAGTCTTCTTGGTTCTTTCGGTAAAGTTACCACGTAGAATGGAAATAAAATAATAAAAATAAAACATAATAAAACAAAATTCTCACGACGTTTCGGCCACAACACAAGTAGCCTTCTTCAGGTGAAGAAACAGGACTGTCCAGAAGACAGCGCTTGAGTGAACACTGCCAAGCATGGACCGCGTCTTTTAAGCTGTGTGGGCGGAGTTAACATGTTACCCAGCACCACCTCCGGATCGGATGAGTGGGGGGCGGCTGGCCACACAGAAAAAGAATGAAGAACAGCCAAGATGCGCTGCTCTGTCCTGTGTTGCGTTATAACTATGCTATAAACTGGACTACTATACAATACAATATTATACCTTCCAATCTAAACTACATGGTATAATATCATATCCATAGACAAATTCCACCTCTGAATTATACAATGCGTTACTATACACTACCCTATAATTTAGACTATAAAATATTAGACTTGTAATATTACAGTCTTATTCTATCAACCCTACTGTATACCACACTGCTGTATATTCACTATACAATTATGATACTATATATTGCCTTGTGAATTATGTTAAACATTACAATGTTATACCCTTTATTATTATACCACATGCTATAAACCATAGCATTGACCGTCGTGTGAAAGGTATTAAGAGGCAGTGCCAGCGAATGGACTGCGATCTGCGGCCCCTCCTTTTAACGCTGGCGAGGTTATAATCTTTGACCCTGCGGGAAGACCCAGTAGCCCGCAGGTGGCAGTTGCGGCGACTGAGGTCAAGGGACGCGTCTGTCCGGAACTTTACCCACAAACCCCCTCCGATGCGTGGATCGTCTATGGGTGCTCCAACTTCCTACCCGCATACGATGATGTGTATGCTGGTTTACCCCAGGAAAGCCTGGGTAGGTTTTCCCATAAGCGAGTGATGTTGCTTGTGTGTGTGTGTAAACCCCCATTGAGTAGTTAGGTTGTTTTTTTTTAGCATTGGGATGTTGGGCCAATACCGGTTATTTGTTTGTTTGTGTAGCTATGGGAGGAAACCATAACCCAGAGGAAATCCGTGCAGAACAGGGGGAGAGTTTACAAACTCCACATAGAAAGGACCCCTTGTCAGGCATCAAACTCAGGAACTTCTTGCTGCGAGGCCACCCACTGACCCTTTACACGACACAGGCCAGCATCTAAAAATAATTTTCCGATTCTTTTAATTTAAATTAAAATGTCGAAAATAATTCCACGGGAGTAACACATTTCTTCGACGACACACACATGCTGCCACGAAAATAATCCTGAGTTTAAAGAGTCCGGGTTCCAGACAGGTCTCTAGTGTTGTGATCGAGTCTATCCAGAGCAGGGTTTGCCCGACGTGAACAAACGCTACTTGGCTACATCTCCAGAATTGTAGAGGTCAGATTGAAGCAGCAGCCAGGGTGATCGGTCACTCGCTCGCTCGCTCACCGGCGGTCAGTCCCCTCCTTGCCACTCTTCTATCGCTACTACTCCTCACTACTCACTACGGTTACTGCTCTGGTGAACTTCATTTACCGATTCCTCCACCACCCCATTTTGAGGACTCGGTCTACCAGACACCGTTTCGTCTCGTCTACACGGTGTTCAACCACCGCACTTGCAGGTTACAACTCGCACGCCCACTCACCCGCTCCCTCGCTTGCTCACTCTGCCAGTTCACCACATTTCTATTTCTGCTTCTTCGCTCCCACTGCTCCACTTTGGAATTCCCCGTAATTTCTCTTTCCAGGCTCAATTCAATAAACGTCTTAACTCCTATTATAATAATTGCATTGGTAATTACCAACGCGATGTTTGTTTGTTGCTGGCCACTTGGTATTTTGGGCCAGTGCTGAGCAACTGCTGTGTTTAGTAAGAACAGAGGCAGCAATACGGACGATAGAATAAATGTCACTTTATTTTGGGTTGATAAATAACCCTGTTGGAACATCTACGGATACATCTAGGCGAGCGTAATAAAACAACAAACCGCAACAGATGCAGAGCAATCGCATTACTGGTGGAAGCACTTCTCATTTCCTTAGTGCACGGCTTGCTTTTTAATTGTTGCCTGGAGCGTAAATTTCCACTGGCAGGAGATCCGATCCAACAAACGAGCATCTCGCTCTCACGAAACGTTCAGCTTTTTAAAGCTTTCCTTCACAGTTGCCAGGTGTTTCAGGGGTTCACGGTGGCCATGCCAGAGACACTGAGCCAGTAACATTGCGAGAACCTGGGCTTGAACTCAGGTTTAAGCCGCCAGGGTGGCAAGATGATTGTCTGAGCCTGGCTACCAATAACTGCACAGAAACACCATTGCTATAAAATTTGGATCATAACTCAATTGTCCACTTTCCAGCTCCGACAACAAAACATTTGGGGATGATTTCCAAACGATGACAATTGATTGAAGGACACAGCAGAGGCAGCCACCTGGGGTATGGATAACAGACTTCTGAAGGGATTTCAGAAGTAGTTCCATGACAAACTTGCGGTGCCATTCTCTGACAATGTCACACTGCTCGCTGCGTTTCCCTGATGGAAATGGCTTTCATTTTGACTTAAAACTTTCGTGACTGCAGGAATTCATATTCTTGGTTCTCTTGGTAAAGTCACATAGATATGAAAAATATAGATAAATAATAAAATAAAAATAATTTAAAAATACAAATACTAAATTGAAAATAACAAAAGCAAAAAAGCTCAGGACGTTTCGATCGCAATAAAAGCGGCCTTCATCAGGCGGAGAGAAATGAGGGAGCAAGCCTCCAAATGTAGCTGCTTATGAGGGTTCCCAAGTGAGTGGGCGGGGACGAGAGCTGGGTAAGCAGCACGCGATTTTTTTGTCTTCTATCTCCGTGACTTTACCGAAAGAACCATGAATATGGAAATGGCTCGTCTCATGATGATGCCGAGAGCCGAAACGCAGGCCTACGATTCAAACTCGGTCATATTCTGACAAAGAGACGGCGAGAGACTCCTCGCAGAGGAGAACCGAGCACCGCTCTACCCACACGGCCACCGCGTCTGGCGCGAGAGACGGTCACCCATGGTGAGGTTTGCGTGTCAGGCCACGTGGCCTCCTCAGATGCCCTGGTAGAGGAGGTCGTATTGTGCGATGTTCTGCGGGTCGATCGGACTGCGCACCATCAGCTTGCCCCGCATGGCCCCACGGTAAATCACCTCCACCAGGTCGATGAAGTCCTGCTTGCTCTTGAAGCTGCCCACAAACTTCGTGTGGTCGGGCGAGCTGTGAGCCAGGGACGAGACCATGAAACGTCAGAGGTTGGTGATCAACAACAAAAACCGTCAGTCATCTCCTGATCAAACAATTGACACTATTGTAAACTAAACTATTTTAAATCTTCCAGGTAAGGCGCACTGACCTATAATAGCTCTTTCAGAAATGACCTGGACACAAATGATAGCTCAATGTGGCTTATCAAAATGTGGAAATTTATAGCAGGCAAATATTCTAAACCCATGTTTATAAATATCGAGGGAAAAACTGACAACATCCAGAGAAAAATTCATGTGACCACGGGGAGAACATGCAAACTCCAAATATACAGGCATCAGGGTTGAGATCGAACCCACGTGGTGCTTTTCAGGCAGTGCTCATTTGTCTACAGCTCTCAGAAAGTGGTGGAAAATTCACATCAATATGGCGGGCACGAGTTTATCCATAGAACAACCACTTAACTTTCCCATAAAGCAGTAATCAGTGTATTCACCCAAGAGGGATGATAGCCGGTTATGCATTTTCAAACGCATAAATCTTCCTCAACCTTTTGTAAACATGCCAGACTTTCACTTGTGATTCTTGCCAAAATGATACGATCTCTGGGCTTCCGAGGAGGCAAGTTCTGTAGCCAGATAGGGTTAGATTAGTTTAACTCCATTTATGTAGGGACCACATATATTCTCACATCAATTATTTACAAATCCTTTTTTTCATGAAACGGACAAGATGCCTCATTTCCATATTTGTCTATAAAAAACGAAGGTTCAGGTAAAAATAAACCTACGTGTTGAACAAAAATCAAGTTGTTTGTTGTACAATTATTCACAATGCTCTCCACCGTAGTGGATGTCATTGGCCTAAGGCCCTGGACGGAGATGTCGCAAAAAAACATTTCTGAAATCCATTCCAGTGACCTCTTAACCACATTCCGTGGCATTGCAATCTCTCAGCCGCCGTGCGAAAGTGATGTCGGTGAAATTGCAGGAACATGTTTAATGTCGAGAGCCGTTTTTTTGGCCAAATAAAGTGAAAACCCAAGTAAAATTATGGCTTGTTTTCCGTGTACTGTGTGTGTGTATGTTGAACTTATTTCACACCATACGTAGCCAACCGTGCTTATTGGACGTGCGGCAGGAAAGGACAGCAAACTAAACAGAAATTTAGTTCTGAAGAAATAAGTTTGCAATCCAGATTATTTAAAAGTGCATTGCTCCCAGTGGCTTCCAAATATCTCAAAAGCTGGCCAGGGCTAAGACCATCGACTCACTACAATTGACAACCCAGTTGAACCACGTTCATCCGAAGCCCACATTCAAACCCGACGTCTTAGCCGTCGCTGGCTCGGTGCCTTATCCCATGAGAGTGAGGCTATCGTTTTTGGCGCGAGATTATTTTTTGTTGTAACAAATAATTCACGACCAAGGTACAACTAAAACAAACAATAGTTCAATACGTTAATGGACAGGATCACGGAAAAAAGGTGTGGAGGTGCCCAACCGAACAATTAACTTTTTTATATGAATTCATTTTTATAATTACATTTACAATTTTTCAGTAATTATTTCTCATGATCCAGTGCCACTGTTATCCATCTCGCTCCTGCATAGGTGGCTTATGCCTGACATTTTGTTAAGTCCAGTGGACATGATAACCAATTAGAAGATAATAGTTTTATTTATTTTAATATAGGTCACCCGGTTTGCATAGGGACAGCAGGCCGCTGTGAAGCCATCGGCCTCGTGTGGTTGCAGGACCTGCGAAACGACGTTGCAGGCCATGTCTGGCCCATGGCCGTATCAATCTTATTAAACTATTTTTATTTTACCGGGTAAGGTCCACTGAGCTATATAGCTCTTTTTTGGAGTGACCTGGCCACAATTAATAGCTCAAAGAAGTGGCTTGTCACGTAGAAATTTATAGCAGCCAAATACTCTATGATGCATATTGATTCTAAATATGTAGGGAAAAACCGGAGGACCCAAAGAAAAATCCACGTGACCACGGGGAAAGACACCGCAAACTCCAAATATACAACAGGCTCCGCAGCCCTGGGTAGGAAGAGCAGCTGTGTGCGGCATGTGCTGCTGAATCATGCCGAGGCCCTACCCGTAGTCCACCTTCATGTGCTGCCCGTTGAAGAAGAAGATGGTGGAGGGGGTGACGGTGATGTCAAAGTAGTGTGTGTACACGGGCACAGCGCCCACATCCACCAGGTAGATCTCGGCCATTTTGCTCAGATCATGGCTCGTCTTCCATAGCTGCACTGTGCACACGCGCGCACACACACACAGATGCACATACATAAACTCTGAACTATTTTTATTTTACCAGATGAGTCCCACCAAGCTATATAGCTTTCAGAAGCGATATGCCACAAATGATAGTTCAACGAAGTGGCTTATCATGTGGAAATTTATAGAAGTCAAAAACTCTAAAACGCGTGTTTCTTAACGTATCTCATGGCGTAATGCAGTGATAAGTTTTGCAGGATGTACCTCCAGCAGTGTACCCTGGTGGCTTCGGGTCTCGTTCCCTTATGTGCGAGTGTTTGGTTCCGGCCAAACCACCTGCTTCTGAAAAAGAGCTATATAGCTCAGTGGGCCTTACCTGGATACATTTCAAATAGTTTAAAGAATTTCTTAGGTATAGACGGAGACGATTTTGATCTCCACCACCACGTGGTCCCGTGCTTCTTCTCTGTACGGCTGATGTTGATGGAGAGCAACAGCTGTGATGAAATATTGAGGTGGACGAACCAGACGATTGTGTCAGGTGTATCGCTGTGATGCCTCCTTCGTATTTGTGAATTGCGTCGTGATATGTTCCATGGTTCTGTCGTGGGTGGGTCTACTGGTCTATGTGTGAGGCTGTGGGTCTCTGCATTCTTCGTAAGGCTGATGTTGTAGTGGAGCAACAGCTGTAAGTTAACATTGATGCGGTTGAGTCTGATGATTGCGTGAGGAGTAGCGGAGTGGTGCACCATCACTCTGATGATGCCTCCTTCATGAGTCATTAAATGTTCTACGATTCTGTTCTGGGTAACCACAGACTCTGCACATTTAATTTTCCATTTGCGGATCATCATCACCATCATCGAGTGTCCGCATCTGCTGCTGCCATGGTTTGTGTGCAGATGCGGTTCAGGGTTGTGGCCCAAGGAAGCTTCACGAGTGATCGAAGCCAGGGATCTTGTGTGTCATCGGGTCAGTCACGAGGAGGTGTTTGTGACTCCTTGTCAACTCCGATTCAGCTTTCCAAGCGTTATCATCATGATCAAAGTTGTTGCATTTAAGTTGCATTGGTCTCAGCGCTGCCAGTCCATGTGACGCCATCCTCTGGCCACTCTGAGCAAGTGTGACACCGAATAACACTGCAGGCTCTATACGCCTTTTAAACAACGTTTCGGGGCCATGGCAAAGTGGCGCTAATTGCAATACAAAGCCAGACGTACGTATGTTGAACTTCCTTCGCACCGTACGTAGCCAACCGGGCTAAATGGAGGTGTGGGGAAAAGACAACAAACTAAACACAAAAAAACTGTTTTGAAGAAATGTTTTCAATCTATATTTAAAAGTACATGGCTCCAGTGGCTTCCTAATATCGGATGGAAGAGCGTTCCAGATGGGCGTAGAAGCGCATCTGAAAGCGCGCGATGTGGTGACCATCTTTGTTCGATGGCCATCCAAAAGCCGCTGCTGCGAGGATGACCGGAATTCGCTTGGTGGTTTATGCTCTTCGATGTGATCAGCAAGGTAATCTGGTTCAGGTGTTGGAAAGCAATTTGTGTGCAATGAGTGCGACACTTGAGTTTGCGGTTTCCCGGCCATGGCTAACATCAGTGGTTGGTGACTCACGGACAGGTCTCAAGACTCCCTCCACATTCGCAGGGTGGTACTGCAGCAAAAGTAATGGCCTAACAATTCCTCACGGCAGGGACTGCGTGGAGAGAGAGAGAGAGAGAGGCCTTCACCCAGCACAGTGTTGTTGTTGCTCTGGAGACAGGGAGATCAATGATCGATGTTCGGTCGGCGTGTTGCTGGAATTCGTCGCGTGAAGGCTGCCAGACAGTACGACGACATATCACGATGCAATGCCCTATCCACAAATACCATACCTGTCAACTCATACGGTTGACCCATAATCTTGTACAGGGAAATTGAGTTTTTAAGTCCATACGGCATACAGCCGTTTCAATACGGGCAACAAAAAAATGGGTGTCTATTTGTTTGTGTTTCTCCCTTGTGATGGGACTTTGTAGGATGAACGTTGAGATTTATAAGGGCACGGGGTGACCAATAACGTCTGAATTGGTCTGTAATAAGGTAGGCACTGATAAGGGGTTGACAGGTATCCACAAATACGAAGGAGACATCATAGCAATACACTCCGCTGCTCCTGACGTGGTTGTCTGGCTTGGCCACCTCAATGTGACATTAGTAGTTGGTGCTCTGCATCTAAATCGGCCATACGAAAGAAGAACAACAAGAAGATATCGCAGAGGATGGACTAAAGCAGTGGTTCTTCTTAACCTGGTGGTGCGTGCACCCCCTGGTGGTGCGAGATGCCCTTTCGGGGGTGCAAGACATGGTCAGATTTTTGTTCAAAGGTAAATAATCGAAAACACAAATTAAGCAGGGGCACGAAAGTACAACTACTTTGTTTCATCAAACCCTGTGTATTTAATCTTGATTTGAAGCTTTCGTGACTGCAGGAATCCATACTCTTTTGTTCTGTCGGTAAAGCCACGTAGGTATAAAATACAATCTGTATTTATTAACATAATACACGTTTTGATTTAAAGCTTTCGTGACTGCAGTAATTCATATTCTTAGTTTTTTCGGTAAAGTCACGTTGAAGGGAAACAACAAAATAATAAAATATATATAAAACAATAAAAAATTCTCACGACGTTTCGACCATAACTCAAACGGTCGTCTTCAGGTGTGTTGGTTTGCATAAATGTATTTTTAAACGGCGCATTTATTTATTTATAAAAAAACGTTAGCGCCACGCGCAACGATTTGGCAGTTTATTTAGGACTAGTCCATCTATATTCTGAAAAGAGGAGGGGGGAGACGAAATTTTTTATAATGTATGCTGTCTGAAAGCCACTGTAAGCGTGAACAATCAATTAAGACCTGAAATGGTTTATCAAATCTTTCCAATGATTGCTAAGATAGAATCCATCTTCTCGGTTGAAATTGTCTCTGTGCTTGTATATGTGGATAGCCTCATGAACGAATCTCTCATGGTAGCCAGATGGCTTACAAAGAACCTCTGTCTTGGAAAAGTCAATGGCATGTGAGCCTACTGAATTAGAACAATGCTCTGCCACGGCCGAGGTGTTGGTCCTACCGTGTTTAAGGTCTGCTTTGTGTTCATGAATGCGGTCCGAGACATGGCGTTTGGTTTCTCCAATGTAACTACTACCACAGAGGCAACTTAGTTTGTAGACACCCAGGGTATTGTATGTCCGGAATCACATCTATTACAGACGGAACCTGATCACGGATTTTATGTAATGTGTTGAAACGGACCTGGATCTTGTGTTTATTCAAGATTTTGGAGATCTTTTTTGTGATCCCCGCAATGTAGGGTAAAGTGATGGTTTTGAAAGGCTCAAGAGGGTTCTTCTTCATGGTTTGAGTGATAGCTTTGCGGATTGTATAGTCGGAGTAACCATTAGCCCTAAGAGCTTGGTGTACGTGCTTGAGTTCACTGCTTATGTGTTCCTGGTCAGATATGCATTGGGCTCTATGATACAGAGTCTTGATGAGAGAATTCTTCTGTGATGGATGGTGGTGGGAATCCGGTTTCAGATAAGCATCCGTATGGGTAGCTTTCCTGTAGACAGAGTGGCTCATTGAACCATCAGGTCTCTTTTTAATTAGGACATCCAAAAAAGGTATCTTGCCATCTATTTCGACTTCCATGGTAAATCTGATGGCTGGGTGTATGGAATTGATGTGGTCGAAGAATTGGTCTAGAGCAGGCCGGCCATGTGGCCAGATGACAAAAGTGTCATCCACGTACCTCTTCCATAAGGTTGGGCGCAGAGTGAAGACGACCGTTTGAGTTATGGTCGAAACGTCGTGAGAATTTTTTTATTGTTTTATATATATATTTTATTATTTTGTTGTTTCCCTTCAACGTGACTTTACCGAAAAAACTAAGAATATAATACACGTTTTTACGATTAAGAACCAAAGAGGTGTAAGGCTGCAGTAAAAGTTAAGAACCACTGGAGTAAAGGGACTGTGAAATAGAATTGCGATGTGTTGTACAAGTTCTGCTTCTTTGCACGCCTGTCAACCCCTTAGCAGTGCCCTACCTTATTACAGACCAATTCAGACCTTACTGGTCACCCCCATGCCATTATAACTCTCAACGTTCATCCTGTACAAGAATACGTGGTAAACCGTATGGGTTAACAGGGATGGGTTTGTATAAATGTCCCCCTCCATCGCTCTTCACTCTTCTTGGGTTCCACTCGGCCCACCAAACTTCCCGGGATGGCCACTGCGTTCATGCACGGGCATTGTCATCCTGTGGGAGAGAGTGCGGCTCGACATTTTAAAGGCAGAGCGAGAGTATCTCTGTAGGAACACGCACAGGGACTCTGCAGTGGCTAGGAGATGTTTACTACCTCGCCTGCTATACAGGAAGTCGTGCTTCCGATCTCGATCCAGACGCCTGCGGCAGTATATTTGGAGTTTGCGTGTCTCTCTATCATCATCACGGTGGCTAGGAGATGTTTACTACCTCGCCTGCTATACAGGAAGTCGTGCTTCCGATCTCGACCCAGACGCCTGCTGCTGTATATTTGGAGTTTGCGTGTCTCTCTATCATCATCATCACGGTGGCTAGGAGATGTTTACTACCTCGCCTGACCTACAGGAGGTCGTGAGTTCGATCTCGACCCTGACGCTTGCTGCTGTATATTTGGAGTTTGCGTGTCTCTTTCTCTCCCTGTGGCCGCGTGTATTTTTCTCCGGGTCCTTCGGGTTTTCCCCTCCACATTTAGACTCAACATCACCACGCGTTTAGAGTCGTTGGCTGCTGCGATATTCCGCTTGGTTGAGCTGTCGCTTGTGCTCGGCAGGTCGCTTCTGACAAGGAGTTACATAGCTCAGTGGTAAAATAAAAACGCCTTTGCCTCCCCACTGTTAAACATAAACACTGGGGAAACAAAGGCGGCCGGGCGTGGTGGCTGCACCCCTCCCCCCGTTCCCACCTCGCGTGCCGAGTCGGCCTTCACAGGTGCTGCTACTCGCTACAGGCCCGTGTGGCCAACACGGGGGACCTTCGTCTGTGTGGGTCACGACAGTTTTCAGTTTCAGTTTTCATTTATTTGGTATAGCCCTGTGAGCCATTCGGCTCTTGAATCGGGTGCAACCGCAACAAACAAAAAAACATGAACAAGAAAAACATCTTAAAGTGACTATGTGACTGTGAAAACAGAAAATCCAGGGAAAAAACATCAAAATATTCCTGAAAAAAGCACCGTACGCCAACGCTGTGTGCAAAAATCCCAGTGGGATGCAAGTCAAACAACAACAACAACCACAAGACAACTAAGATTAAGGCCATCAGTCTAACTCCGAACTACAACAAACAAACATGGCCAAACCAAAACACTTTTCGACATCACCAAAATAAAGCCATAAAAGCAATGTAACAGTGATCATAGGAACTGTGACCGAATTTTCACAATAAACTATATAAATGACATGTAACACCAAACCCTAGAGCCATAGCTGGCTACATGAGTCACTCCACAAACAACAGGGGCATCAGTCGGAGTATCACATTTTTCAATGCACCTTTAAGATCAGCACACTAACTCTAAATACAGATAATACTTTGCAGCGGTCATCCGGAGCGAAACATTTTATTTTATCTTAGGCCACTGAATAGCAGTGGCAGCTAGGGGTGTACAACTCCTCTAGAGCAGTTTTGAGTGAAGATGAGCCTCGCCTCACTCATCCTCATCGCCCGGCCGCTCTCCTCGCCCTCACCGTCTCGTCCAGGTGCCGGCAGCTCGGCTCCTCGCTCCTACCGAAGCGCAACACCAGCACCCGGTCCGCCACGTTCCGGATGGCCGCGTCCACCTCCGCCTTGCTGCCCAGGTGCGGCAGCATGTAGCTCATGGTGGACCAGCGCAAGAAGCCGTGCGTGATGACGTAAACCCGGCCTGACGTGATGACGTAAACCCGGCCTGACGTGAGAACGTGACCCTGGCCTGACGTGATGACGTAACCCGGGCCTGACGTGGTGACGTAACCCTAATCTGACGTGATGACGTGCCCCGGCCTGACGTGAGAACGGAACCCTGGCCTGACGTAATGACGTAACCCAGCCCTGACGTGATGACGTAACCCCGGCCTGACGTGATGACGTAACCCTGGCCTGACGTGGTGACGTTACTCTAATCTGACGTGTTGATGTAACCCCGGCCTGACGTGATGACGTAACCCCGGGCTGACGTGAGAACGTGACCCTGGCCTGACGTGATGACGTAACCCAGCTCTGACGTGATGACGTAACCCCGGCCTGACGTGATGACGTAACTCTGGCCTGACGTGTGAACGTAACCCCGGCCTGACGTGATGACGTAATCCCTGGCCTGACGTGAGAACGTATCCCCCGCCTGACATGAGAACGTAACCCTGACCTGACGTGATGACGTCTTGGCGCTCGGCATGATGACGTCGCTTGTCCTCCTCCCCCGGTTCGCGTTGGTGCACCACGTGGTGCTCGGGCGCCAGAGGTCGCGACCCCTGCACTGTGAACCCGGCTGAGTCCCCTCCCACGTGTTGAACACGTGGGAGGCGCAGAGGGCAGCGAGGGAGACGGTGAGAGACGCTCACACAGAGACATTCACAGAGAGACGCTCACAGGGAGACACAGAGACAATCACAGAGACACCCACAGAGAGACATTCACAGAGAGACGCTCACAGAGACACAGAAACACTCACAGAGACACCCACAGAGAGACATTCACAGAGAGACGCTCACAGAGAGACACAGAAACACTCACAGAGAGACGCTCACAGAGAGACAGAAACACTCACAGAGACTTTCACAGAGATACTCTCACAGGGAGACGCTCACAGAGAGACGCTCACAGAGAGACACTCACAGAGAGACGCTCACAGACACAGAGACATTCCCAGAGAGACGCTCACAGGGAAACGCTCACAGAGAGACGCTCACAGAGAGACGCTCAGAGAGAGACACAGAAAAACTCACAGAGACATTCACAGGGAGACTCTCACAGGGAGGCGCTCACAGAGAGACACAGAAACACTCACAGAGACATTCACAGAGAGACGCTCACAGAGAGACACAGAAACACTCACAGAGACATTCACAGAGAGACGCTCACAGAGAGACACTCACAGAGAGACGCTTACAGAGCGACGCTCACAGAAACGCAAAGAGACTCTTACAGACAATCACAGAGAGAATCACGGGACACTCACAGAGATACACTCACAGACTCGCAGAAACGGTCAGACTCACAGAGACACTCGCAGAGAGCCGCACAGAGAGGCACGCACAGAGAGACACTCACAGACGGTGAGACACTCACAGAGACATAATCACAGAGACACTCACAGGGACACTGCCATAGACACTCACGCAGACACTCAGAGGGAGACTCACAGAGACAGTGAGATACTCACAAGGATACTGACATAGACACTCACACAGACACTCAGAGGGAGACTCACAGAGACACTCGCAGAGACGGTAATACAGTGAGGGAAAAAGTATTTGATCCCCTGCTGATTTTGTACGTTTGCCCACTGACAAAGAAATGATAAGTCTATAATTTTAATGGTAGGTTTAATTGAACAGTGAGAGACAGAATAACAACAACAAAATCCAGAAAAACGCATGTCAAAAATGTTATAAATTGATTTGCATTTTAATGAGGGAAATAAGTATTTGACTCCTCTGCAAAACATGACTTAGTACTTGGTGGGAAAACCCTTGTTGGCAATCACAGAGGTCAGACTTTCTTGTAGTTGGCCACCAGGTTTGCACACATCTCAGGAGGGATTTTGTCCCATTCCTCTTTGCAGATCTTCTCCAAGTCATTAAGGTTTCGAGGCTGACATTTGGCAACTCGAACCTTCAGCTCCCTCCACAGATTTTCTATGGGATTAAGGTCTGGAGACTGGCTAGGCCACTGCAGGACCTTAATGTGCTTCTTCTTGAGCCACTCCTTTGTTGCCTTGGCCGTGTGTTTTGGGTCATTGTCATGCTGGAATACCCATCCACGACCCATTTTCAATGCCCTGGCTGAGGGAAGGAGGTTCTCACCAAAGATTTGACGGTACATGGCCCGGTCCATCGTCCCTTTGATGCGGTGAAGTTGTCCTGTTCCCTTTGCAGAAAAACATCCCCAAAGCATAATGTTTCCACCTCCATGTTTGACGGTGGGGATGGTGTTCTTGGGGTCATAGGCAGCATTCCTCCTCCTCCAAACACGGCGAGTTGAGTTGATGCCAAAGAGCTCCATTTTGGTCTCATCTGACCACAACACTTTCACCCAGTTGTCCTCTGAATCATTCAGATGTTCATTGGCAAACTTCAGACGGGCATGTATATGCGCTTTCTTGAGCAGGGAGACCTTGCGGGCGCTGCAGGATTTCAGTCCTTCACGGCGTAGTGTGTTACCAATTGTTTTCTTGGTGACTGTGGTCCCAGCTGCCTTGAGATCATTGACAATATCCTCCCGTGTAGTTCTGGGCTGATTCTTCACTGTTCTCATGAACTTTGCAACTCCACGAGGTGAGATCTTGCATGGAGCCCCAGGCCGAGGGAGATTGACAGTTCTTTTGTGTTTCTTCCATTTGCGAATAATCGCACCTAATTGTTGTCACCTCACCAAGCTGCTTGGCAATGGTCTTGTAGCCCATTCCAGCCTTGTGTAGGTCTACAGTCTTGTCCCTGACATCCTTGGGAGCTCTTTGCTCTTGGCCATGGTGGAGAGTTTGGAATCTGATTGATTGATTGATTGCTTCTGTGGACAGGTGTCTTTTATACAGGTAACAAGCTTTAAGAGTCTGCTCCTAATCTCAGCTCGTTACCTGTATAAAAGACACCTGGGAGCCAGAAATCTTTCTGATTGAGAGGGGGTCAAATACTTATTTCCCTCATTAAAATGCAAATCAATTTATAACATTTTTGACATGCGTTTTTCTGGATTTTGTTGTTATTATTTCTCTCACTGTTCAAATAAACCTACCATTAAAATTATAGGCTGATAATTTATTTGTCAGTAGGCAAACGTACAAAATCAGCAGGGGATCAGATACTTTTTCCCCTCACTGTACTCACACAGACACTCACAGACTCACAGAGACGGTGAGACTCTCACAGACAAAGACAAAGATCGCTCGTATAGGCTGTAACAGACTGTTGGGGCAAGTGCTGTTAGCGAGTAGCACCTATGAAGGACGGCAAGGCACACGAGGGGGTGGGTACCCGGGGAAACACCGGATATGAGGAGTTTGTACTTAACGCTCCGTAGCTGCACCGTACTGCCATCTCTTTAACCTGCCTCTCAGTCCAAGCCTCCAGGACCAGCTCTTGCCAGGGAGTCTCCCATCTCTACACTAACCAGACTCAAACTTGCATTCACGGCTCCTAACTCGTTCCTGTAAATGATACGAAACCGTGAATGCGTGCGGGACTCTCTGAACGACGTTAATTTGTAGACAGCAGAAGGGTCGACTGCCACCACACCAGGACGGTCCTCCCGTCATCCCCGGCACTGTGATGCACACATCGCCACGTATTGGAGCACAGCTCCAGAGAATCGAAACTGCGGCCACATAACCCTGGAAAGTGGCAAACAATGAGACCACTGCCACTAGGCCGGTTTCGTCTTTGACTAGGAGATGTTTACTACCTCGCCTGGCATACACGAGGTCGTGGGTTCGACCTTGATGCCCGCTGTATGTTTGGAGTTTCCGTGTTTCTCTCTCTCCCCGTGGTCTCGTGGATTTTTCCATGGGTCCTCCGGTTTTTCCCTCCACATTTAGATTCAACGTCATGCGTTTAGAGTCTTTGGCTGCTATAGAGTTCCGCGTGACGAGCCACTTGGTTGAGCTATCATTTGTGGCCAGGTCGCTTCTGAAGAATAATTCTATATCGCTCAGTGGGCCTTACCTCCTGGTGAAATTTAAAATAGTTTAGTTTAATTAGTACAGCATAGCCTGCATTGCCTACTGCTGCTGCTGCCTTAGGTCTCAGGGGCTGCTTCCTGTGAGCCGGCCATACCTGATCACAGAGGGCACAGGCTAAGGGCGACAGCTTATTCAAACTACTTTCTCCTGTAAATCATAAGAGACTCATCAGACAGAAAGGTGAGTGCAAGCTGGAAGCAAATGATAGTAACAACTCACTCTCGTCAAGGAACATAAACCATCATCACGCGAACTCCGGTCATCCTCGCAGCGGCTTTTGGCTGGCCATCGAACAAATACGGTCGCCACATCGCACGCTGCGGCCGTCTGGAACGCTCTTCCTTCCGATATTAGGAAGCCACTGGAGCTATGCACTTTTAAATCTAGATTGAAAACTCATTTTTTCAAACTGATTTTAGTCTTTAGTTTGTTGTCCTTCCCCCGCACCTTCAATTAGCATGGTTGGTTACATACGGTGCGAAAGAAGTTCAACATAATACTCACGCCTTCGTGTATTTGTGACGAGGTGGGGCGCGGTGCGAGGGATTTATTCGTAGGTCTCCGTGCGCCGTATCAGTTGCAGAGGCCGCATCCAGGAGACACGGCGATGATGCTGGGCCCAGCTCTGCTCCGCGTGGCTCGGCGCGCGGTGTGGCACCACTGGGTGGCGCGTGTGCCCCGTCGCGGCGGGCCCTCCGTGGTCGCCTTCCGCCAATACTTCACCAACTCCGACGCCGGGAACAAAGATCCGCGTGACGCCAGGGGCAACACCGTCTCCGACGCCAGGACCAAAGATCCGCGGAAGGACAGCGGCAACCGGAGAGAGGACATCAATGGCAAGGAACGTGTCGTCGATCTGGATTTGTGGAAGAGCATCGCAAGCAAAAGCATCCCGCGGGAAGCGTCGGCGGACGACGCGGCTACGCGCGGCGTCGCTGCTAGCGCCGGCAATCCAGTGGAAGCCCCTCGCAAGCCCGGCGCTCTGAGCACTGACGAGCGAGCAGAAGCCGCTCGTGAGCCCGGCGCTCTGAGCACTGACGAGCGAGAGGAAGCCGCTCGTGAGCCCGGCGCTCTGAGCACTGACGAGCGAGCAGAAGCCGCTCGTGAGCCCGGCGCTCTGAGCACTGACGAGCGAGAGGAAGCCGCTCGCGAGCCCGGCGCTCCGAGCACCGACGAGCGAGCGATTTCCGTTGGCGAGCCCGCCGCTTCGGAGTGGGCGCCGGAGCTGGCGGATGGGCACAGCGGTCTGAGCGCGGCGGTCGAGCTAGCTGGAGCGGACACGGCGGAGGCAACGCTGCAGCTCGTCGGGCTGTGGCGCGAGGCGGGCAAATCCGTGCCGAGCGTCATGACCGACGCGCAGATCCAGGAGTACCTGGAGATGACGAGCAAGTCGATGCGCCAGCGGTTCCTCCGCTTCCTGCACAAGCGCGAGTGCATGAAGGATGCGAGGAGGCAGAAGCGGGAGGCGAAGAGGGAGGAGCGTAAACTACTGGCGCCAAAGGAAAAGGCCCCCGAGGCGCCGCTCAGGTACTTTGGGGGGGGGGCGGGGGGTGGCGGGTCAGGGTGAACAGTCGAGGAATAAACAATCGTGGTAAGTTTATTAATTAGTGATGATAATGACACGGTCGATACCACGGGAGATAACGGCACCTGGCTTGTGACATCGCAAGATGACGTGTGCAGTTAGCCCTTTCACATTCCAATGACATACGTGATGTACGTCATCAGAATCGGAATTAAACCGACGTTCCCACAATGCCATTCGAGAGGGCGCGTGGCACAGTGTGGCGCCAGCTATCGTTCCCCTACGGTTCTCTGCGGCGAGTAACAATGTCTTTAAATAATGTAACGCTGAGCTGCTTGCGCGTTCTGAGATTCAGCGGTGAACGGGACACCCCACCCTGAAACTTGCAGACGCCTTTGAAACGGGGAAGGGTTAATGTCATTAGGAGGGGACGGGCACGAGATGGGGCCCGCATCTGGTAAATAAAGGATTTATTTATCAACGTTTTCCACCTGGAAAAAAAACCCCTTGAGATGGGAAATGTCATTTGCATCGGTGTCCAGGGTCGTCGATTGGCCCGCAGCAAACACAAAGTGGCGCACATACGCACACTAAAAATCTCAACCTCCCCTTCGCCTCTTGCCCCCGTCCCTTCTACCCCCTTAGTTTTGTTCGTCTCTCCTCAACCTTCCTCTCCCCATAGAAAAATCCACGCTCCTGCTCGTCGTCCCGCACCTTGGTGGGGCAGGGAGCCCCGATGTTGTTTCCCTCCTTCCCCTACGCCCAGGAGTATTGGAGTCTCCGGGACTCTTTTTTCTGTGACACCCCCTTTCCTACGTCGCGGTTTATGCCCTTAATCCCGGACTCTTGTTGAATTACGATAAAAAAAATATCTTAATTATATCGCTGCACTGCCCGCCGCTGCTGGCAAGGCGGCCTCACAACAGCGGTGGTGTTCTCCAGCCCCTGGTTTACGCCCCGTCCAAGCACAGTACGGGCTCAAGCCTGCTTAGCTCCTGAGACCCATCGGGTAAGGGCGCCGTTCTGTCGTCAATCGCACAGGATCTCTTCTTGTAACCTTGATACCACGGAATGCATGAGACACTCCACTGTGTGTGTGTTTGTTCATCCGTGGTGGTGGTGGTGGTGATCGGTAGCGTAGCGGTTAGCGCGCTGCGCTACGAACCCGGCGACCCGAGTTCGGTTCCCACTCACAGCCAGCACGATTATCTGAACCGGTCCTGGGCCTCCCCTAGGTCGACTCAGCCTCAAATGAGTACCTGGTGCGGTGTGTAAACATCATCACTGGGGAGACAACTGCTGGCCACCCACCCCATTTGCGTGACGTGCTGGCCTTCATAGGGTGCTCGCTAACAGCACTTGCCCTAACAGTCTGTTTAAGGCTATACGGGGGTTCTTTGTCTTTGTGTACCTCACTGCACGCCTTGGTGGCAGTTTAGCCTCTGCGTGTTTTGTTTTTCCCGAGGATTCCAAAGTTATTTCGGTGCCTTGGCGCTCGCCCGTCAACTCATTTGGCGCCCTAGCACCACACTGCTCTTCTCGCAGCTTACCACCCGGCACCGTGGGGGGGGGGCGTCACGGCGCCGCGTATGACGGACGCACCCCTGCGGGTCGCCATTCAGACGACGTGGCCAGTTTTACTTTCGCCGCCATCATCATCATCGTCGTCGTCGTCAATCCGCTGTTGGATGAAGGTCTCTCCCCGAGCCGTGGCCATCTCAGTTGGCCGTGCGGCAACGCAGCGTTCCCTCCGGCACCTACCCACGAGCCGATTCCGTTGCTCCGTCTCCGCCGTAAACGTGCTGTCTTGGCGAGCTCCATCCGTTGGCTGCCGCTCCGTTGTTCATCTCAGACATCGGCTATCGTTCCTCCTGTTGCCCAAGCCCACCCTTCCTCAAGGTCGCATCACACCGTTAACCGGCCTATGTTCTCTAATCTACGTGTTGCACTCGGTGTTATTCCTCGCAGCTTGTTGCTCACAATGTGGCTTGTCATTGTGGCGCAGTGGCAAGAACACCACAAGACTTCCAAGTCCCAAGCCCATCATGCCTTCTGGGTTCATAAAATATGGACTGCTTTGTAGGAAGTTGACGGTTGGTTGTGTTGGACATTTGTGGGAAAGAGCTTTATAGCACATCGGGTCCTCTAGTATAAATAAATATTCTGGTTCTGTTGTGGATAGACTGGCCCAGAATGTCGTAGAATGCACGTGGTTTACACGCGCGCAATGTTCACGCACACCGTGGCATTAGGGTGGCACCCAGAGGTCGTGACTCCAGGGGAGAGTGTGGGTGGGGGGGACTTCTGTAATATTTTTTTCACAGATGATCACCTGCACTGGTGTCCTCGCGGGCCAGGCCTCCGCTGGCCATCACTTGTGAGATCTAGCATCAGAAAGGAAGCGATGGCGAGGCGTACTGCCACGGTTGCGAGATGTTAATTACCTCGCCTGGTATACAGGAAGTCGTGGGTTCGATCCTGACCGTGACGCCTGCTGTATATTTGGAGTTTGCGTGTCTCTCTCCCTGTGGTCGTGTGGTTTCTCCTCCGGGTCCTCCGGTTTTTCCCTTCACATTTAGAATCAACATTGTACGTTTAGAGTATTTGGCTGCTATACATTTCCATACGATGATAAGCCACTTCGTTGAGCTATCATTTTGTGGCCAGGTCGCTTCTGAAGAGGAGCTACATAGCTCAGTGGGCCTTACCCGGTAAAATAAAATAAAAAATGGTAGTGACACCGGAAATGGCCATGACCATGTCTTGGTCTCGCCTCGCCGAACCTGACCACGTGCTGCGATTTTCTCCCCTGTCTCCAGGAACAGCTTCCTGTTGACGTTCTGGACCTGCTCGGAGGAGCGCGCCTTTGACTGGCGCCTAGCGCAGGCCATGCAGCACGGCCAGCCGCTCGTCATCGACATGAGCTACGACCACATGATGAACTCGCGCGCGTCGCGCAGCTGCGCCGAGCAGATCATCGAGCTCATGTCCAGCAACCGGCGCGCGCTCGATCCCTTCCACCTGCACCTGTGCGGCTACGCGCCGGGTGACGCAAGCGGCCGGACGGCCAGCGCCGCGCTGGCCCGGCTCTACGGCGCCGACGCGTTGCGCCGGATCCTCGTCACCGAGACGGAGCGCTCCTACCTGGAGCTGTTCCCCCATGAGCGGCTCGTCTACCTGACGGCCGACTCGCCCAACGTGCTGCGCGAGTTCGACTCCTCGGCCGTCTACGTGGTGGGCGGCTTCGTCGACCTGGCCATCGAGACCGGCGTGTCGCTGGGCCGTGCCAAGCGCCAGGGCCTGGCGACGGCGCGGCTGCCGCTCGAGAAGTACCTGAGCTGGGGCCTGGGCGGGAAGAACCTGACCCTCGACCAGGTGGTGAAGATCCTCGACCGCGTCAAGGACACGGGCGACTGGAGCGACGCGCTGCGCTTCGTGCCGCGGCGCAAGCTCAAGAGCGCGCCCGAAGCGGACTTCGCCGCTGGCCGCCACGGCCACCAGCACGGCCAATATGCTCAGCGAGGCCAGCACGGCCAGCACGGCCAGCACGGCCAGCACGGCCAGAACGGCCGGCCCTTCGACAACCAGAGAGCTTTCAGACCCGGGTCGGATGCTGGGGTGCGGCGGGGGCCAGGCGGGCCGCGCGCGGGTAACTGGGGGCAGGACGGGGAGGCGAGGGGCGGGAGTGCGGGCGACACCGGACGGGACGGAGGCGGGCGGAGCGGAGCGCGGAGAGAAGCGTGGCGATGGCAAGGGGACGACCCCAATGGGTGTGAGTGGCACGGCGCCAAGGGTCACGGGACTAAGGGTCACGGGCCAAAGGATGGCTTCCTCGGCGCCTGGCAATCAAAATCACCGGACAAGCGGTGATTGGTGGCGGCCGCGCCACGTGCCCCGTGATGTTAAAAACATCTTCGCGTTTATACTCCGCGGGGTCGGGGGGCGCGCGTGCGTGTCCGTCCTCGCAAATGAGCGTTGGCCGATGCTCGATACTGTCGGCAGCCCCGAAGCAGTGGTGGAAATTTGTCACTCGCGTGTCGGGGGGGTTAATCTGTGCAGTGGACAACCGCTGGCGACTCCATCAAAGCCGGTCCTAGTTTTATTGACCCCCATGGACATCATGGGCTGGGGTGGTGCTGCTCGCTCAGCATGAACGGAGCTCTCTCGCCAGGGCGACGCCACACTATGCATGCAGCCTGCATCGCGCCGCGCCAGATGTACTTTTGTATGTTGAACTTCTATCGCACCGTTCGTAGCCAACCGCGCTAATCGGAGCTGCGGTGGAAGGACAACAAACTAAACACAAAAAGCAGAAATGTCGTTTTCAATTTAGTTGATTTAACAGTGCACAGCTCCAGTGGCTTCCTATTATCGGAAGGAAGAGCATTCCAGACGGCCGCAGAGGCGCATCTGAAAGCGTGCGATGCGGTGTTTGATGGCTGGCCAAAAAGCCGCTGGGTGGAAGCTGCTCTGCAGCAGGGAGTGAGCATTCACAATGGGCATCTTCGTCGTGCACACACACACACTCACACTCGCAGTCACGCACACACGGCGCTTAAACACCGACATTCAGCATTTTCCGATGACCAAGTTGCCCGGAATGCGCCCACACTCGTCAGATCTCGGGAGCTAAGCGGGGTTGAGCCCGGATAATGCTCGGATGGTCGCCCACCACAAAATAGACGTCCCTCCTTCTGGGAGCGCATCATTATCCGCAGCATTGGTTTAACACGAGAAAACTGTGGACCGGTTTCAACATTCAGTGTCTCATCAGCAGATTCAGGTGCTATAGGTGACTGCGGGGCCAAGTCATCAGCAGAGCGCAGCAAAATCCATTGTTGTGCTGTACTATGCTCCAACATCTGTGCTCCCCTCCTTCACCAACCCACAAAGACCAGCGTGGTGAAGTGTGTTCTAATAACCCCCATGACCCATGTGGCGTGGTGAGGCCCTTATCCAGCAGTGGATCGATAGAGAGGGCAGTAAGTGCACACGCTGCACCAGCTCCCTGCACCACCCGCGCGCCAGCCCGTGTGATTTTTATTTGGCTGTGTGAATCCACTTCTTTGACACAGGCCTGTGCCTCGACTGTTCCTACGGCCGCGCATTCCTGCTCTGTAACAGCGATGTTGTACACTGCATAATGCTGTCAATAATAAATGTTACGGTAATGGGACGGTGTGACTTGCTATTTATGGGTTTTAAGTGTGTGTTAACGTGTCATTACTTGTTTTCTATGTATGTGTGTACAAGCGTGGATAGCTGTGGTCTAGTGATTACCGCGCTGCGCAACGAACCCGACGTACTCAGCCTCAAATGAGTACCTGTTGCGGTGTGTAAACATCCCCACAAGAGAGACAAATGCGGCCGGGCGTGGTGTTGGCCAACCACTCCCTCGTGTGCCGTGCCGACCTTCATAAGTGCTCACGAACAGCAGTTCTCCCAACAGTCTACTAAGGCTACACGGATAATCTTTGTTTTGTCTGTAGTATGTGTAATAAGCGACTTCCGTGACATGTCGTGTAGAGGTTACTTTTTTTATTTAAAGCTTTCGTGACTGCAGTAATTCATATTCTTAGTTTTTTCGGTAAAGTCACGTTGAAGAGAAACAACAAAATAATAAAATATATATAAAACTATAAAAAATTCTCACGACACCTGAAGATGACCGTTTGAGTTATGGTCGAAACGTCGTGAGAATTTTTTATTGTTTTATATATATTTTATTATTTTGTTGTTTCTCTTCAACGTGACTTTACCGAAAAAACCTAAGAATAAGGTTACTTCTTCTTTATTCCTCACACTGGGCACAACACAGGCCAACCCTATTCTTCCTCACACTGAGTACAACACTTAGATATTAACGTCTCGACTGGCTACACAGAGCCGATCACTCAGCGTGGTCCCACCGCCCTCACTCGGCCACGCCGCTGGCTGGCGGCGTGGCGATGACGGCGATGGAAGCCACGCAGGAGATCTTCCACGTGGCCGGACGATGGAGAGAGATGTCGGCGAACAGCGACGCAGCCTGGACCCAAGACCCCACACACGAGCCCCGAGCCCCAGGTCCGCTCCCCCTTATATCTCCCCAGGCGTGGCTAGGCCCCGCCTCCGGCCACGCCCTCTCGTGGAACCTTCGAGCAGGTTCCCGGAGTATCTCCGCTAGCCGCACCTGTCACCTTTACCCCAGATACACCTCCTTCTCTGATTGGTTGTTACTTTAACCGTGCCTGTACCCGTGATTCCTTCTCCCGGCCAGCAGGCGTCACCCTGTCGTTACATGTACATGTTTGGGTATAAATGTGTCACCACGTGTTTGCTGTGCGTATCTATATACACCCTCCCACTTGTAATATTAAATAGAGCCGTTGCCTCAAGCTACCGCATGGCAGGATCGCCATTGTACTCATTACAAACTGCTTTCTACAAATGAAGCACAATACCTTGCTGATCTCGTCAAGGAGTATAAGCAATCATCACGCAATCTCTGGTCATCCTCGCAGCAGCGGCTTTTAGCTCAGCGACCAAACAAAGACGGTCACCGCATCATCGCGCGCATTCAGATGCGCTTCTGCGGCCGTCTGGAACTCTCTTTCGTCTAGATTGAAAACTCATTTTTTTAGAACTGATTTTTGAGTTTAGTTTTGTTCTTCCACCGCACCACCGATTAGCACAGTTAGCTACGTACTGTGCGAAGGAGTTCAACATACATACAGACATACCCCGGGCGCGTCGCCGTTTCAAGCTCCTGTAATCCTCGTGGAGCATTCGCGCTCCCCGTGGCCATGGCCGTCTCTGACCCCGAACCCCCCTGGAGGTGTCGCCGCGGCCCCGCAGGGGGCGTGGCCCGGAGCAGTGCTCGGCTCGCATGGCCCAGCCCAGGAGGCCCACACGCCACGCTTGGTGTTTGAACGCAAACATCCGATTAGCACGTGTGGTGTGAAAAAACTTCAACATACATGTAACGCGTTCCTCAACGCTGGCTGGGCCTTAGGGGCGGTGGCTAGGAGATGTTAACTACCTCGCATGGTATACAGGAGGTCGTGGGTTCGATCCCGACCCTGACGCCTGCGGTATATTTGGAGTTTGCGTCTCTCTTTCCCGTGGTCGCATGGAATTTTTTTCCGGGTCCTCCGGCTTTCTCCTCCACATTTAGAATCAACGTCACGCGTTTCGAGTATTTGCTGCTATAAATGTCCACATGATAAGCCACTTGGTTGAGCTATCATTTGTGATAGCCAGATCGATTCTGAAATTGAGATATTTAGCTCAGTGGGCTTTACCTGGTAAAATACTACCCACGTGCGAAACGTCAGCTACTGCCCACAGTACGATGGTCCTTGTAGCACAGAAGGAACCTTTCCCGAAATGTCGCCTATACTGTTGTTGTTTCCTTTCAAGGCCACGAGTTTTTTAAGGAACGTGTTGAGTTTTAGTTTTCATTGTTTTTGTGTTTGCTTGTGCACCGTTTGTATGAACGTGGAGGGTAGCGAGCTTCTGTACGACGCGTTGAACGGTGCGCGTGTCTGCAGGCTGTCTTGAGCCACATGATGTTCACTTGCGGCCCCTGTGTCAGTCCACTGCTGGATGAAGGCCTCCTTGTGCTCTGGGGGTTGTTTGACCATTTTTCACCACGCCGGTCAATTCGGGTTGGTGGTGAAGCCGTGCGGAGAGAGACGCGGGTCGCTGTTAGCAATCCGCGCACTCTACCGCGCGGTGGGTTACAGCGAACGGGCCGAGCTGAGCGAGGCGAGTTGGCAGTGGTGGTGGGTCGGTGTTAGCGGTGGTGGTGGCGGTGGTGGATCGTGGTGGCGATGTCAATAGTGGATGGTGGTGGTGGCATTGGCGGTGGTGGCAGAAGTGGTGGATGGATGGTGGGGGCGGTGACCCCGTGAACTTTTGGACGCACACTGCTGCTGTCACCGCCGTGTGAATTGCACAACACTGGCGGGCGGGCTGGCGGGCGAACGCGCTGGGTCAGTGGCACGAGCCAGCGAGGGAGTGGTGCAGGGTGCTGGCCGGCTTCGCGCACTGCTCGGCGAGACGCCCACGCGATGGCCCCGAGGATGGCGGTGGAACAGCAGAAGAAGAAGGAGTTCCTCTTCAAGGTCCTCGTCATCGGGGAGCTCGGCGTGGGCAAGACGAGCATCATCAAGCGCTATGTGCACCACGTCTTCTCGCACGGCTACCGCGCCACCATCGGCGTCGACTTTGCGCTCAAGGTGCTGGGCTGGGACGCCGACACCACGGTGCGCCTGCAGCTCTGGGACATCGCAGGTATGTTACGTATGTTGTATGTATGTTGTATGTACAGGCACCCCTCGACTGACGAACGCCCGACTTACAAACCAGCTTCGATGAAATATAACAAAAAATAGGATTGACTTAAAACTCACACTTGCAAACTGAACCGTGGAAATATTTTGTTGAGAGGAGCGATCCTCCGCAAGATGTAACGAGTCGGCCTCTGAGTGCGTGTGTGTGTGACATCAGTAGGCCTGGGCTCTGGGTCGTTCTTCGTGCTTTTGGAGTACCTGACCCTCTGCTCACGATCATTAAGGACCTTCATGATGGTGAGCGGGCCCGGGTAAAACTACGTGGCCGGGAGTCAGAGCCATTCCCTGTACACCTTGGGGTGCGACAGGGATGTCCTCTGGCTCCCACATTATTTAACATCTATTTTGACCACGTAGTTCGTGAAGCCTTCAATAGCTGTACCGGGGGAATCTCCATATGGTACAGATATAATGGGAGGCTAATCGATGCCCGGGTGCGGTCAAGGGATGGCTCCCTATTGCTCAACCACGTTATGTATGCTGATGACTTGGTAATAGCTGCTCAGTCAGAGGAGGAGTTGGAGACGCTGCTGCTGAGACTGGAGCGTGCCACTAAGAGGTGGGGCCTTACCATCAGCCCCACCAAAACTAAGCACCTGCCTGGGTATTTTGTACCATCGGACACTCCACCCCCACAACTCCCAATCGGTGATGGGGCAGTTGTGGAGAGAGTGGAGAGTTTCCCATACCTGGGCAGTGTGCTTATGACTGGCTCCAGTTTAACAGCAGAGGTCTCACTCCGAATCAGTCGAGCGGCAATATCTTTTCATCGGTTGCGTAACGCTGTGTGGAAGCTACCTGGTCTGTCGCTCCGCACTAAGCTTCAGGTCTTCTCGGCCACGGTCATTCCCTCCCTTCTCTACGCTTGCGAAACGTGGACCCCCCTAATGGAACATCTTCGCCGGTTAGAAACATTTAGGCTGGCCTGCCTACGATCCATCCTGGGTTTAACCAGACTGGATTGTGTGAGGAGCTCACAAATCCTTGAAAGATCTGGGCAGGGTCCCATCGGTGAGCTCCTCCGGCAGGCAAGGCTGCGATGGCTGGGTCATGTAGCCCGCATGCCCAGCCACCGCATGCCGAAACAGCTTTTGTTTGGCCGGATTGAGGGGGCTAAGCGGGCGCGGCACGGGCTAGAGAAGAGATGGAGTGATGTGGTACAGGAGGACGTGGAGCTGAGTGGACTTGCCGATGATTGGTACCAGCGGTGTCAAGATCGGCCTCTGTGGAGGAGGCTCGTGAAGGACGCTACTGGGCAGTTGGAGGCAGTCGCCCTCCAACAACAACGGAGGGCGGAGGAGCGACGCTCACAACAGCGAGCGGAGCGCCGGGTGGTTAAAGCACAGCAGGTTGGCACAGTAGGGGGCACAGGTGGTGCATCAGCCAGTCATCTCAGTCAGTCGACCCGTGGCACCTGCTGGGTCTGCCCCGTGACCTCCTGCCGGCGGGCGTTCGACACTTCACGTGGCCTCAAGGTGCACATAGCCTGGCACAAGCGTCGTGGTGACGTCACCGCCACTTAGTGGCGAATGGCGGTTGTTGTTGTTGTTGTGTGTGTTTTGTCTGTAGTATGTGCCCAGCCACCGCATGCCGAAACAGCTTTTGTTCGGCCGGATTGAGGGGGCTAAGCGGGCGCGGCATGGGCTAGATAAGAGATGGAGTGATGTGGTACAGGAGGACGTGGAGCTGAGTGGACTTGCCGATGACTGGTACCAGCGGTGTCAAGATCGGCCTCTGTGGAGGAGGCTCGTGAAGGATGCTACTGGGCAGTTGGAGGCAGTCGCCCTCCAACAACAACGGAGGGCAGAGGAGCGACGCTCAGAACAACGAGCGGAGCGCCGGGTGGCTAAAGCACAGCAGGTTGGCACAGTAGGGGGCACAGGTGGTGCATCAGCCAGTCATCTCAGTCAGTCGACCCGTGGCACCTGGGTCTGCCCCGTGACCTCCTGCCAGCGGGCGTTCGACACTTCACGTGGCCTCAGGGTGCACATAGCCTGGCACAAGCGTCGTGGTGACGTCACTGCCACTTAGTGGCGAATGGCGGTTGTTGTTGTGTGACTGAGTGTGTGACTGAGTGTGTGTGTGAGTAACTGAGTCTGTGTGACTGAGTGTGTGTGTGACTGAGTGTGTGTGTGTGACTGAGTGTGTGTGACTGAGTGTGTGTGACTGAGTTTGTGTGTGACTGAGTGTGTGTGTGACTGAGTGTGTGTGACTGAGTGTGTGTGTGACTGACACAGATGCCATATTTTCTGTCCGTCTGCTACAGCAGAGGTGTAGGGAATTCCACAAGACCTACATCTCTGCTTTATTGACCTGGTCAAGGCCTATGATACCATCAGTAGGCCTGGGCTCTGGGTTGTTCTTCGTGCTTTTGGAGTACCTGACCCTCTGCTCACGATCATTAAGGACCTTCATGATGGTGAGCGGGCCCGGGTAAAACTACGTGGCCGGGAGTCAGAGCCATTCCCTGTACACCTTGGGGTGCGACAGGGATGTCCTCTGGCTCCCACATTATTTAACATCTATTTTGACCACGGAGTTTGTGAAGCCTTCAATAGCTGTACCGGGGGAATCTCCATATGGTACAGATATAATGGGAGGCTGATCGATGCCCGGGTGCGGTCAAGGGATGGCTCCCTATTGCTCAACCACGTTATGTATGCTGATGATTTGGTAATAGCTGCTCATTCAGAGGAGGAGTTGGAGACGCTACTGCTGAGACTGGAGCGTGCCACTAAGAGGTGGGGCCTTACCATCAGCCCCACCAAAACTAAGCACCTGCCTGGGTATTTTGTACCATCGGACACTCCACCCCCACAACTCCCAATTGGTGATGGGGGCAGTTGTGGAGAGAGTGGAGAGTTTCCCATACCTGGGCAGTGTGCTTATGACTGGCTCCAGTTTAACAGCAGAGGTCTCACTCCGAATCAGTCGAGCGGCAATATCTTTTCATCGGTTGCGTAACGCTGTGTGGAAGCTACCTGGTCTATCGCTCCGCACTAAGCTTCAGGTCTTCTCGGCCACGGTCATTCCCTCCCTTCTCTACGCTTGCGAAACGTGGACCCCCCTAATGGAACATCTTCACCGGTTAGAAACATTTAGGCTGGCCTGCCTACGATCCATCCTGGGTTTAACCAGACTGGATTGTGTGAGGAGCTCACAAATCCTTGAAAGATCTGGGCAAGGTCCCATCGGTGAGCTCCTCCGGCGGGGAAGGCTGCGATGGCTGGGTCATGTAGCCCGCATGCCCAGCCACCGCATGCCGAAACAGCTTTTGTTCGGCCGGATTGAGGAGGCTAAGCGGGCGCGGCACGGGCTAGAGAAGAGATGGAGTGATGTGGTACAGGAGAATGTGGAGCTGAGTGGACATGCCGATGACTGGTACCAGCGGTGTCAAGATCGGCCTCTGTGGAGGAGGCTCGTGAAGGATGCTACTGGGCAGTTGGAGGCAGTCGCCCTCCAACAACAACGGAGGGCGGAGGAGCGACGCTCACAACAACGAGCAGAGCGCCGGGTGGCTAAAGCACAGCAGGTTGGCACAGTAGGGGGCACAGGTGGTGCATCAGCCAGTCATCTCAGTCAGTCGACCCGTGGCACCTGGGTCTGCCCCGTGATCTCCTGCCAGCGGGCGTTCGACACTTCACGTGGGCTCAGGGTGCACATAGCCTGGCACAAGCGTCGTGGTGACGTCACCGCCACTTAGTGGCGAATGGCGGTTGTTGTTGTTGTGTGACTGAGTGTGTGACTGAGTGTGTGTGTGTGACTGAGTGTGTGTGACTGAGTGTGTGTGTGACTGAGTGTGTGTGTGTGTTTCTGAGTGTGTGTGACTGAGTGTGTGTGTGTGAAAGTGGGGCGCGGTAGCGTAGCGGTTACCGTGCTGCACCACAAAAAGCGACGACTCGAGTTCGGTTCCCCCGCACGGCTAACACCAGTGACGATTATCTGAATCGCTCCTGGGCCTCCCATAGGTTGACTCAGCCTCAAATGAGTACCTGGTGCGGTGTGTAAACATCGCCACTGGGGAAACAGAGGCGGTCGGGTGTGGTTACTGGCCATCCACCTCCTTGAGTGCCATGCCGGCATTCATATGTGCTCGCTGACAGCACTTGCCCCAACGGCTGGTGCATCTGACAACCCATAGAACCTGGGTCTGTCCTGTGACCTCGTGTCAGCGAGCCTTCGACACTACACGTGGCTTCAAAGTGCACCTGGCCTGGCACAGGTGCTGTGTTGACGTCATCGTCACTTAGTGGTGAATGGCAGGTATTGGTATTGTATGGACCGTATGTTGAATTTCTTTTGCACCGTACGTAGCCAGCCACGCTAATCGGAGGTGCGGGGGAAGGACAAGAAACTAAACACAAAACGCAATTCTAAAAAAAATAGTTTTCAACCTAGATTTAAAAAGTGCGGAGGTCCCAGTGGCTTCCTAATGTCGGAAGGAAGAGCGTTCCAGACGGCCGCAGAAGCGCGTCTGGAAGCGCCACGCGATGGGTTGACCGCCATCTTTGTTCGATGGCTCGCAGCCAAAAGCCGCTGCCGCGAGGATGTCCGGAGCTCGCCCGACCGTGTTGGAGTTCATTTGACCTCACGCGATTTTGGAGGATTTTTGACCCCCCCCCCCCCCAATCGTCACACGGCGTCACAAAAAGTCAGACCCCCCCCCCTCAAATATGACGTCACAAAGCTCTGCCCCGCCCCCAAAATAAAACATGCTTCAAATCGCTTTAAACTATTGTCATTGTAGTGCGTATTTAATGTGGCGCTGCACTCTGATGTTGTAGGAGAAAACATTTATTAAAAGTCTATTTAGTTAAGTAGAACGTGTTGTCTATTTATTTAAAGTTGCGCATTTTGATGTGACGTCACATTTCTCAACACCCCCCCCCCCTCTCGTCACACATCGTCACAAATGTCTGACCCCCCCCCACCCCCCCAGGT